TTGATGGAAGTTGGAGGAATCGTTAGTAAATACTTATAAGCTTCGAGGACACGGGGAGGATGGAAGAAAACAGTCCGGTCGACACGGATCGGGATTGTAGGAGTAAAGGCTATAATCCCGATTGTTTCGATCATTGTAAGCATGTTTTTCAAAAAATAAACGCGTTAATTTTGTAAATTCGGTCTCTGTGTGAGTCTCTCAGCGTTCAGCAAACCACTACCCCGAAACGTAAAAAGACTTTCTCGCATCATCCTGACAGATCGCGGACAAGGCGAGGGTCATAACCTTTTCACCTAAGGTCGACCCCCCCTAAGCGAGTAGCGTCAGGTCTATATTAACCACACTGGCAAAACAAGATGGCTGACACATTGACAGGTAAAACGCACTGAGTAGTGCTCTCGACTGCACCAGAAAATCGATTGGCGCCCGCGAAAATTCAAAAATACAAAAATGAAGTATATTACCAAGTAACCCAGTGAGAACTGCTTGCCTATCATTTTAGTTGAAAATACAAGAAGTTTTATTCCAAGCAAGCATCGCAAGCCCGCTTGGTTAATTTCTGCTGCTTGCTTGGAATAAAATTTCTTGTATTTTATATTAAAATGATAGGCAAGCAATTCTGTTAAAAGCACTGGCACTGAACGTTTCGGTTCATGCAGTCTATTTTGCAATTTTTTTAAAATGATGTCAATCCCGAAAATCCCGGGATTAGGAAAACTTAATCCCAAAAATTTTGGGACTGAAAAGTGGTCGGGATCCCGATTTTCGAGATCCCGGGATCAAATCCTCTACTCCTGCGTCATCTAAATACGCTGAAGTACTAATCATTTGCATATTCCAACCTCTTCTTCCTTTCATATGATTTTGACATTCGTACGATCATTCTTTCCTGGTGTTGCAATTTTAATGGCCAGCAGTGTATTTCTGCTGTCATGTATTATGAAAACTAAATTAGAAGCACAGGATTTGACAATTACATTCATGTCTAAAGATTTTGTATTGTGTAAATCATCATTGTTCTTTATTATATAACTAATTATCAATTTAGCAATAAAAACTATTGATATTTTGTTAGTGATTTGCAAAATTTCAGGAATGTGTTTCTCTTTTAGATGGATGTTAAGACAGATTTTTACATAGATCTTTAACTAAAAATCATGCTTCTAGTAATATGTTTCATATAGGGTTTCCATTTTTACTCAATTCCCCAACTTTAACAATGTAGTAAAGTTTATTGGGACTTGTTAATTTATGATATTAAGTGGAAAACAAATCATAATTCTAATATAAATCCTCAATATTTGAAATGCTGTTCTAAATAAGACCAGAGTTAATTATATATTTAAAAAACCTTTATTTTTACATATACCACAAAGAAAACAAACTTGTGTGTGAAATATTTTAATTAATAATAAAATGAATGCAGCAAATCTTGTAATAAATTTTATTCTTTCAAATTCAAATTCTTTATTTTCTAAAGTAGAATCAAAAATACACTTCTTGATGTTGCTCAACCATGAATGCAATCCCCCACTAGGCAGGCCAGCTTGGGCAAGAAATGAGAAAATGATTTCCTGAGTTTGCAGAGACAAAAATAAACTGTAGAAAATCAATAGTCTGGTTGACATATTGGTAATTTCTCATAGCTCTGTATACACACTCGTAATGCATTTTCAAATTGTCATGAAATCTGTTTTCACATTGCTCATCAGCAGAGAACTGATCAACATAGTTTAATTAAAGAATGATTACTGACACTTTTTTCAGATTTTACAGCACAAGCTAAAGTGCCTCATCAACTGAAAATCTTCCACCAAGACAGAAATCATCTTGACAAATCCCAATAGAAAGCAAAGCTTTTGGATTTTTTATATGAAAGATCTAATGCATTACAAGTTTGTTTCTGATGATAGATCCATTAACAACAATGTAGGGGTCCTATATTGACATTCTCAGTTGCCTCTGCAACATAGTAAAACAAATCCATCTTTTTGCTTGCCAGAGATGAGACTGTTTTTCTATCCCATCACACTGTACTAGTTAATGAATATCTGGCAAAACACCAGATACCTGTACATCCACAACATCCTTACTCATCTGATCTTACTCCTTCAGACTTTCTTCATCAAAAGGAAAGTTCTACCAAAAGGTCACAGATTAGAGAACATGTGAAACATACTGCATAATTGCACTCAAAGAGTGCAATTATGCAGTATGTATGTGTTATGTAAATTCATAATAATTGGTACAAAGATTGAGTCTGTTAACAGTTTACCAACAACTATGTAAAGAAGTAAGTTTAGAAGGTGCTTATTTTGAAGGTGGTCATCTGTAAACACTTCCACTATTAACATAATGAAAGTGTAAAAGATTTGATGAGAATATACAGTAGACCCCCCTATAACGCTTAGATACGTTCCACGCTAATCGAATTTTACGTTGTAGGAATGATTAAATACATGAGCCAATCGCAGCCCGATAGGTG